GGGGTGAGTAGAAAATGAAGGCTAATCATGTTTTGGGTGTACTATTCCTTTAAGTTTTCTCAGTTTATTTTTTCCTGTGGCAAGCAAACAGAGAAAGACAAACATTTCCTCCACGCTTCTCTTGCGCTGGTAAAAAACAAAAAAAAACAACAAAAAAAACCATAAGCTCACCTACATGCATGCTGGTCCTACCATTGATGGCCTATTTATAAAAATAATTTAAGCAAATTAATCATTACTAACCAAAATGAAAGGAACATGACTAAATAACAAAAAAATTAAAAAACAATCTCTTAACAGATATCATACAACAAAAGTAAAATAAACTTAGCTAGATTATGCACAAAAAGAAAAAAACTTGGTAATTAACAAAAAATAACTGGCTCCTACAGTATTTATGTATTTGAATTGAAAACTGATCTTAATGATACATTTTTTTTATCTATCTATCTATCTATCTATCTATCTATCTATCTATCTATCTATCTCAAATGTTATAAAAATGCAAAGTTGTGCTCTGCAACGTCAAAAAGTAGATTATTCATGATTCGTCAAGTTTTGTGCTTTTTAATTCAAAACAAACAGCTATGGAAGTTCAGTAGTTATATTTCCCACAGCTGTGAATGCATCTTTTTTTTCCTTGACAGTCATGAACCCGGCTGGATTCAGCTTCAAACAGACCTCGCGGACAAACTTGAAGTCTTTGAAGTGGAGCTTGATCTTCCGAACAAAGACACTTTCAGCTCCGCCAGGTAACTGAGTCACCTGCGTCTCTCTATAGGAGACGATCCTGCAACTTCAGCATTGTGGTTAAATACTAGGCTGCATATATTTAACACTGATTGAACGCCGGTATTTTTCAGTCAAGTGTGTCGGATATAATCTTCCGCCTCCTAAAATAACAGGTGGGTGCTGCTGCTGCACCAAGAAGGCGTGAAAAGTTCATATCAGCCTTAATAAAGATTAATTTATTATTAGTACTGTGTTTTTAAAATGAGTCTAGAAAATAACTCTTTGCAGTAATTAGTCCAAATAAATCCTCCGAAGTTGTTTATTTTTGTAGAATTCTGATCTAAATCAGGATCTTACCTCTTGTCTATCTTGTCCAGTTTACTCGTAATTTCCTGAAAGGTTTTTTCTTCCCTTCACAGACACCTTGCAGCAGTCCAGTTATTACATAAACAGAGATCTCAAGGGTAACTCTAGTTTTATTCCCCCCGACACCCCATGCTGCGCAAAGGTGGGACTTTGCTCTGTCTCTATCTTGAGATGGCGAAAGCATCATAAAGTTTCTGCTCTGTGCAAACTGAAAAAAAAAATACAGCCGTGAAACATGAAGTAGTGACTAATGAGGTCAGGTTCAGGTTCTTTTCATTGAAGCTTTTACAAAAGAAGTCAAGTCTGTGTGCTGTAGTTGTATCTTAAAGGTACAAAGCAGTGGTAAACTTATTTCAAGCTTTCAAAACTCACACAAGGAGAAAAGACAATTAGAAGAAATTTATTGATATAATTACTTTGTCAGGCTGCTCAGTGGCGCAGTGGGTAGCACTGCTGCCTTGCAGCAAGAAGGTTCTGGGTTTGATACCCAGCCCAGGGTCTTTCTACATGGAGTTTGCATGTTATCCCTGAGCATGCTTGGGTTCTCTCCGGGTACTCTGGCTTCCTCCCACAGTCCAAAAACATGATTGTTAGGTTAATTGGCTTCTCTAAAGTCCCCTTAGGTGTGAGTGTGTGTGAATGCTTGTTTGTCTCTGTGTTGCCCTGCGAGGGACTGGCGACCTGTCCAGGGTGTACCCCGCCTCTTGCCCATTGGCTGCTTATCCCGACCCCACTTGGGATAAGTGTGCTGGAAAATGGATGGATGGATGGATGAATTACTTTGTCTTTGGTGCTCAGACCTCGGCAGGAAACATAGCACTTAATTTTGATAGATATGCATGAACAGGAGCAAAGAACAGGGCTGTTTCACCCACAGGCAGTGGAGTGGAGATAGATGGAGTTGGTCGGTCTGTAGACTGCTGGTTAGCGAGACGGTCTGCTGAGCTTTATGCGGAGTAGAGACTGACACGGGAATGGATTTTCACTCCTGTCCCGTCCCACTCCCACAGAAAAAAAATTGTGTCCCTTCCCACTCCCGGGCCAGAGTAGAAATCTAAATCCTGTCCCGTCCCACTCCTGGTGAAATTACTCCCACTCCCATCCCGCTCCCATTCAGAATGACTCCCGCTCCTGCACCACTGCCATTCTTGTTGTTTTCATTAAGATTTCTGCCAATACATTGAATCTGAATTTCTTTTGAGCGCGGGTGAAAAACTCAGAGCGGAAGCACTGTTGGTTTTTGGGTCATGTAGTTTTTTTGTCTCGCATTATAGTGTAGGCTTTAAGGAAAAAAACTACAAAATGGCGGCGCCAGTACTGGATTTTTTTTTCTTGCTATTTTATTTTATGGCATCGATCCTATTTATTTTTTTTGTTTTGTTACTATTGGATTGCTCCCGCTCCCGTCTGCTCCCGTTTATGTTTAATCCTGTACTGTCCCAATCACGTGATCGTTACTAATACTGACTCCCATCCCACGGGAATCCCACGACCCGTGGGATTCCCGAAAAAATGTCAGTCTCTAATGCGGAGGTCCAGTGGACTGCGTGAGCTGATACCAGAGCTTCACTCAGGGACCTGGAAGATGGAAGTCCAGTTGGATAACACGGGTTGAGAGAACATGCCCATGATGAGCAAGCATGAAGCGACAGTGGAGAGGAAAAACTCCCCGTTGGGAAAAAACCTCTGGCTGAACCAGGCTCAACATGGCGGTCTTCTGCTGGACCGGTTTAGATGAGACAGGGAAGGCAGTAAGAGTCCTTCCGGACTCTTACTCCCTTACTGGCTCTGATGAAGCTTAAGCTATGAAGGTAGAGGAGGGGCTGGAGGTGGGTTGAAACGGTGTTATCTGAATTAAGTCACAGAGCGCATCACCGCCTGTGCACAGGATCAGACAGGTGCGTACCGGAGGCCTTTTAAGATGAACTTTGGATGCCGATTGGCTTTTGTTGAGGTGTGGTTCAAAGATGATTGGCTGTGTCTCAGGTAGTTCTATGAAAAAATCAATGAGTTTCTTCAGTTCCGCCTAGGCTCCATTTAAATGCACAACAAAAAGATAGAAGAATGATGCATGGATTGACAAGAATTGAATCCAAAGCTTTAAACAAAGCACTTTTTATGTGTCAATTATTAATCTTATCTGCTGGCATTAGTAAACATTGTGGTCAACTTTGAAAAGTTTCTAAACAAATTATTTTTGGTTGACTTTGATTGCTCTCATACCAGTGATCGCTTTTAGAACTTCAGTCTTTTTCCTTCCTTCCTTTTTAAGCTCTCAATCTGATCTAATTTCATAAATATACGTTTAACACTCCTGAAACAATAGCTAACTGTTCCAAAAAAAATAAATAAATAAATAAAAACAATCCACTGGACTTTGCTTTAAAGTTTGAAGATGTTTCGCTTCCCATCCAAGAAGCTTTTTCAATTCAAAATTTCAGGAGCGTTGCGTTTTGTATTGACAAAGCTTCTTGGATGGGAAGCAAAACGTCTTCAATGTTGGAAACAAAGTCCAGTGGATTCTTTTTCCATTTTCTCCTTTTTTTTTGGGAATGACTATGACCTGGATGACGGAGAATCTTCATCAGCAATAGATTGATGTATTCTAAATCTCACTGTTCTGAAAAGATGTGCAGAATTTGCCACTGTAGTCGCTCCTCAGGTAGCCTGAACTTAGTGTGTTTTTCTTAGCCCTCTTCAGGTTTTTATACTTTCAAAGGTTTTCATATATTTTCTCTACCAAACATGGACAAAGGAATTAGTTGTAAAAGTAAATTTCCCTGTTCCATCAATTTAATTACTATTTTTCCAACAGCTAATTGACTCAAAATAGCTCACCGTTTGTTCAAAAGCATGATAACCCATTTAATAACGTGACCATCCAAGAAAGGGAACTTTAAATTTGTCATCACAGGTGTCCATATGCAGAATGAATAACCTTGTCATATCTACAGAGCAACACATTAGAATTAGTTTTTTTTTTCACTCTTTTTTTTTTTGTGCTAAATATTTAGCAACATGAACTTGTTGGAAAAGTCCGTTTAGATTGACTAGCAGTGAGAAATATTGCTTTTATATTAAATCATGGCTCCAGGGTGCACAAGGCTAATTACTGTGGATATTTCCTACAGCTCAGGCTTCTTCGCAGCCTTTGTAATAATCAATGAGCCCTGTTGCAGTCAATTAGAATGTAATTGGATTTTGTGTATGTCTGAGGTGGAAAAAAGCGCATTTGAGCACTCATAAAAGGACTTAGTTTCGTTTTTAACCGCTATACTGAACCTGAATTTGGTTCAAGAGAAAAAATTAAATGTTCATGCAGCATGGCCTTTGTATTTTACTCTAAAGGACAATAATTATAGCCATGTCATTTCAAAACTGTCGGTATTCTTTTCCATTTTCCTCATTCCTGAACAGTCAGCTGGTAGGTTACCATGGCAAAAGTACTGAGGAGCAGGAGAGAGGTTGAGTTTTTCTCTTAAACAGGGAGCAAAGGCTTTGCCAACAGAAACAAGCTGTCAGATCAATTTTAGCTGATGCTGGTGGCATTAGCAGATGATGATGAAAATCAGTAATATGGATCACATTTGCCGTTTTTTTAAAGAATCATTAACTTTATTTTAGCTGGACAAAGAATCCTACAATGTTTTTATCAATCATGGGTGCGGGGCATCCAGGGTAAACCACGTCTGGTACTTCATCTGAAAAAGCGCACATCTACCACTATCCGGTAGACTGCCTGCCTTCAAAATGGTTCAAAGTCTTCACTCTTTAAGTCGACCCATTAATGAGTAAAAGAGAATCATGCAAGCACCAGACAGGGGAATAAATCAACAATGAACAAAACCATCTCAAATGTATTTCTGTTTCTATTGATGTATCCTCCAAAAGCAACATTGACCTTGCCATCCCTATACAGAAGATGTTGTTATTCAGTCTCTAGAAACCCTTTTTACTTGTCACTGCATCATCTTTCTTCAATTTTTTTTTCCTGTCTCCCTTTACTTTTTAATTAAAACTGACACCAAGTACAAAGTATGCATCACCTATCAGTTTTCCTGCTAATGAAAACTCTTATTGTTTGACAGATAGTTTTTTGTGTTGCGTTTGTTTTTTAGATGATTATGTTGATTGGATGTAATTTATCTGTGTAACCTTTATATCTGTGTAGGACTAGAAAGATCTTTTCTTTCTCACATATTCAGATCATTGACTTTATACAACTGTTGTCATGTATATTCATGGCTGGTATGGTTTGGTTTTTTGCTCAAAGGAATTCTTATTGGTTAACTTCTTGTTTTCTACTTACAATTCATTCCTCCAGTGGTAAACTGTACCTTTCACTTACATAATTTGCTGCTTCTTTCTGTCCCTTTTGCTTTGACATGTTTGGGCAAGAAAGCCTTTGTTCATTCAGCTTCCTCCTCCTCTTGGAACCTCCCTCAGTAATCTTTAAAAGTAGGTGAACTTATCTTATCAAGTTTTTTACTCGAAGGTACAAGTTCCCAAGGCCAATTCAATAACCTTAATATTTTCCATAATTTTTCTTTTAACTATGTAACTTTGTTGTGTTTAATTTAATGTTACCTCTTGGCTTGGACTTTATTGGAAAAAGAGGTTTTTAATCTCAAAGGGACTGTCCTCAAGGTTAAATGAAAATGAAAACATTTAGACAGGAATATTGCTCCTTTAGTGCCGGAGCTATGGTGATACTCGAACAGGTCAGACCTAAGTGGCTTAACAAACAAAAGCCCCATTCCTCAGCCACAAGCTCTGGGCTGAAAATGGCTTAAAAGTAGCCAGTGTTCTAAATAAAACTTTGAAACACTGAAGGTCTTTCTTTAGCTTATTGCTCAAGATCACTCGAAAGGATTACAAACAGTTGGAGTACCGGAAAGTTGACAAAAGAGTGGAAAAGAAGTTCTGTAAAATACAAAGTAGGATCTCACTTATGCTATTCAGATGAAGCAGAGTTGGAAAAACATGTCTTGATAGGCCCTCCTTTGGTTTACAACGAGAACATGCAATCTCCTTTACCCTGCTAACATTGAAGTGCAATTAATTTAAGTTTAAGGGTTTATTTTACAGTGTACGATTTGAAAAACACTCTGTTTTAAAAATAGGTAATTTATGCAATCCTTTTCTAATATGCCCTTCCAAAAACTAAATTAGGACCCCCAATTCAGGAACCACTGATTTAAAACAATGTCAGGAAAATATTCTTTCTTTTGTAACATACCATTTAATAATACTTCCTTCCAAACCTCCCACTCTTTAGTAAATATACTACTTCTTACTCTTGAGCTTGCAGGTTTTTATTCTGCTCACCAATCTGGCAGGTTTAGCCTATTATCAGTTTTCTGATATTCAGACATTTTATGGAATGTATTAAAAAGAGGAGAGTCTAGGATTCAGAATTAACTACATTCTTCTGACATTCTTCATTGTACAAACATCCCACAAACGTACCTTAATATGTGCTTTTTTTCTATATTCAAATCATGAACCTATTAAAAAACAGTATAATAATAACTGAAATTGTTATAACATATGTATATCCTGTGTGTACTTTATCAGATTAAAAATTCGGGGAAAAAAAAAACGTTTTTTATTAAATTTATTAATTATTTATTTGCTGGTTAGTGCTGCCTGTTGAAGGAGCCTGCACCCATCCATTGAAAGTTATATTTAGACACCAACCTCTCTAATACCCTGTATGACTTTGGCATGTGTAGGATATGGTCAGATCACAAATAAAGTTCTGATATATATGGGACACCACATCAAGTATAAGAATTCATCCATCTGGATGGTTGCTAAAGCCAACAATTTAAAGGAAGAATCAAAAATATCATAAAAAAGCCAAAAACATCACACAGAAAGACCCAACTGAGATTTGAACCAAACACTTAACAGTTCCAACCTATGCCCCACCACTTTATGCATCATTCTAAACAAATGTATAAAAATATAATAGGTTTGTGCAAAAGCAGGTCACACAAAAATGTTTAGTATGTAAATCCATAGACATTTAGAGTGGTTCTAGATTTAAAGTTTTCAATCATCATTACTCCTAAATGCTTCATGCATGAGTTTTGCAATGTTTTGCTTCAGCCAAATAATTTCTCTGATTCTGGAACTTGGAGCTGGTTGGCAGGATGTGGTTGCCTGGTTTCCTCTGGAATTATAGATCAAAACTGCAGCAGAAATCATTGCTCCACAGGAGGAAAGTTTTGGCACATTGAAACAAATAAACGTGTTATCAAAAGTGATTGTTTTGTTGAGACCTCTGGGAAATAGAATTACATTTTAGGGATTTCAGTTGTGCAAAAAAAAAAAAAAAAATCTTCAAAAACCCATTTTTGCCGAAGTGATGAGGATTTTAACACTCTAGTGCAAAATATATTTTAATATCTACAAAGTGGATAGCCCCATAGGGAAAGAAAGAAAAAATCATTTCCAGTCTCATTAGTCTTTTCTGCTTTGATATATCACCGTTATTGTACCAGGCAGTAGGAAACAGATTTACTCCAGAGTTTATGAGCACAGAGAATGAGCTGTTATATCTAAAGAGCTTTTGACAAGTACAAATCATCCTGATAGTTATAAAAGTGGTCATGATTACTCTGCTGGGGATGGCGGTGTGCTGTGCTCTCTGTGTCACGTTCCTGCTGCGATTGCCTGACATGCACCTTAAATTTATGGCGGGGAGGCAGGGTCCAGTCTGAGCTGCAGTGGAGTAATCCTCTTTACGTAACTGCTCAGAAATCACCTATAAGCGCACAAAGCGCTCAGGAATTTAATTTGATTTTTCATGATCTGTTTATCTGAAATGTCAGCTTTCAGTTTATGATTAAACACTGTCTAGAGATAATGATCATATACGTGTGCACTTAGACTAACTTAGACTTTACGAGTTGCACCTTTATAAGCTCAGACATTATTAAACAGACATAAAGCCTCAGAACATTTTAAGTTTTGTTTGATTTGATCCACAGCCATTGGGGAAAGTTTAAAGAAATGCAACATGTGGCTAGCTGGAGATAACTATTATAGTGATAAAAAGATTTCAGCGCCGATCTTTGAGCAGGAAGTCTTTTTAGTATTTATTGTGTTTCTCTCTCAGATGTATTATGTGTGTGTGTGTCTTTGTGTAAGTGTGTGTTCATGTCTGTTTTAGCTGGGGTGTGATAGATGATGTCCTTGCTCTGGTCTCTGCTTTGTTATTGCCTCTGCGTGGGGGTGTCTGATGTCTAACTAAGCATAAATATAAAGCCTCTGCCATCTTCTTAACATCTTTGTATTCTCAAAGGGATCTTTTAGCGTCTTTCAGTAATAAGGATAGCACACTTTTTTTGTAATAGAAAAAAAGTGCTCTTTTTTAGTTAAAAATAGATTTTTACCCTAAAAGTATACAACAACTTAACAATATGTAATATTAATGTGGAAGAAGTGTAGTTAAGTATCCCCATAGAATTGCTGTATGGAAATAATAATAGAAATATGGTTTTCTGACCATAGCTAATTGTTTTGTTGTGGTCTTGTGGACATTTTTGAGATTTCACATCTTAAAGCATCCTTAACATTTCTCATTTATAATAGGTATCTTAGTATGACTCATGCAAAGTTATCCCTTTGGAGGTATTTAAGGGCAGGAGATGATGGGCCTCTGTTACTTCTGAAGGATTTTACATTCTATCACAGGGCAAATGTGTCGAGCTTATGGTTAGATTTTTGTTTTATTTATATTAGCTATTCATATTTTTTAAAATTTGGATCCCTATTCTTCCTTTATAATGACTGATTACTAACCATTTTGAAAAAGTCTAAGCCTCTCTTCCTTCTTTAGGAATTTGATGTCTAGTTATTGTGCTTGCCTTTCATCAGAGTCTCACTTGTGCCACAGGCGTTTAGTCCGTCCAGTCATCATAAAAAAGAGGCTCCCTCCTGGTCTGTTAGAGTTTTCTTATGAATAATGTATTCATCATCTGAAGCTGCAGACGTGTCTCACTGTGTGTTCAGAGATGCTTGACTTTCACACATCTCTGCTGGAATGAGGATGAATCAAGAGCTTGTCTTGGCTATCAGACGCTGTAGGGAATATCTTTGTAAACATAAAATGAAATAGAGAGGGTATTTCTCCTGCTAGGTATTTGCTTTGGAGGCCTAAATTAATGTTGGCGTCTTCCCTAATTATCTAAAGTAAAACTGTAAACAAAAACAAAGTTCCCCTCTTCAATTTTGTATTTTTCTCACTTGTTTTCCATGGAATGGAAGCCTCAGCAGCTGCAGACTGCAGAATTTACTTATTTTTCAAGGAACTGTTCAGAACTAAATTTGAGAACTGCTAGATTTGCTTTAAGGTTGCAAACTCAAACACTGACTGATTTTGGTATCCAATAATCTAGTAAGGATTTGTTTATATGGAGAACTGTGTTGACTCTGTAAATTTTGTTGGTTTAACTTAAACTTAGACAACTTTTATTGTTTCGTTTTGTACGGCTTTCATGACATTTCCATTCCTTAAAGTGCAGCAGTGATCAAATGTAAACAGTATGGGAGAAGAAAAAAAAATATGGATGAAAACCATTAAAAAAAACATGTTTTTATTTGAGCTCAGTGCAAGGGGCTTTGTGGTTCTGCAAAGCAGGAGCTGCATCTGTAGTTGGCATTGTCTCCAGTTCCACTTTCACTTCGCTGTGTTATTCATTCTGTTCCTGGTGTTTATGGACAAAATATCAATATGTACTTTGTTTTATTGTTACTTTTACTTTCCAATACAATTTAACCTAATTTATAAAGCATTTTGAGTGCTGATATAATAAGCTCCTTTGCATTGCCTGTTTATGTTTAAACTTTGGCACGTTATGTGAGGCAGAACCTTGCATGCTAAAAGTTTGGTGCAACTGTGATTTAAAAGGTGGTTTTATACATAATTTTAGCTTTTTTATAAAGCTTTTTTATTTTATGTTCTTTTTTTGTATTTATGCCAATTTTGGTTTTTAAGGTGTGTTCACACTTTTAGCATAAAACCCCTCTAATGTTTAATAAAAGAGACCCCTGAAAGTATCATAAAGGAAAAGCTTATGTCTGAGTTTACTTTCTAAAAGCTAAAGAGAGCTAAAAATATTTTTTCTTTTAAAAACAAACAAAAAAAAAAACTTGTAAGGGGTTTACTGCAACTTGTTAAAATTAAAATTAATACTCTAGGCTATTTAACTGGGTCTCTTTATGGGTTTATTATGTATCATATTCATTTTATGATGTCCAAAACAATTATCTTCTTTTAAAATAAACTAATAAATGTTATGTTCATAAAGCAGGACTAGAGTATCAAATGTTTTGTTGTAGTAATTTGAAATAATACATTTCCACCCATTTTTATTTTGATGTCTTTATTGTCTAAGGTCCTAGTGCCTTGTTATATTTACATAAGCATATTGATTAGATAGTAGGTATTACGTGTAAAGAAAACAGGTTTCCCTGCCACTAGTAACGGATGGCAGTGATTGCTTTGAACACAGGGAGAGCTGTCAGAGTGATGATTTGTAAAAGTCAGCTCAGCACAAATGGTCAGATTAGAAGGAATCTGGGGGTCCTCCGAAATCCCTGGAGACCACAGTGCCATCACACTGATGGGATCCCCTGCAAAGATCACTCATGCTAGACTCCATTAGCCAAAGACACCCGTCCACATGTCAGTGAGTGAACAAAGACACACATTTTCACCTGACACTAAAAGAGGAATGCAAGCAGCTATAAATTATGTTTAGGTAAACCCAGCCTGACACAACAAAAGGCTTGTGTAATCCATTAGTTGTGTAACTTCCAAAATGGCATTTTATGTATCACTTGATTTTAGTGTTAGACCTCTTATATATTATTAATTAATTATATCCATAGGAAAATACATGAAGTTATGAATACATGTGAATGTCTAGCCATGGCTGGTTGACAATATTTGAGAAATTCTTTATTTCCTTGTGTCTGATCAGATTTGTCTAACTACAAAACTGGGTATGATTTCCCTAATGTCGGATATGAATCGGTTTCCACCTGCTGTTGCAGTGACATCATGGTATTGATTCCACAGACTTCTGCCACGGGAACCTGAGCCATATTTCCCGGAGCTGCCTGATGATAAGCCGGGAATCAAACCCCTGGAGGAAACAGTATACCAGCAGCGTCAGACACTTCATGGTTAAAGGTTTGTCACATTATTTTCATAGCAATCTCCTGAAATGGCTCTTCAGTGATCGTCTCTATGACGCCTCTCATAATGTCCTTGCCCTTACCTTCCTCAGTGGGACTCACACTGTGTGATTGGATAATAAAACCTCCTCCTTGATCTCATAGAGACAGAAAGCTGTTTTGTTTTTTTCATGTGAGCTGGCCTATAATTAGGACCATAACAGCTTGTCATTTGCATTCACATGTTCAGGTGAGTGGATGAAGGATACAACCCTGAAAGTTTAATAATAGTTCTATTGAAAATACGATGTCACATAGGAGAAATTCTTCTATTAAATATTTTGAATAATTAATATAGATTTCTTGTATGCAATAGTTTTATTTTCTCCTACTTGGAGGAATTTAAATTCTCTTTGCTTAACCATTAAGTTGGGATTTACCCATTTTACCCCCTTAGGGATATCAAACAAAGACATTATACAAGATGTTTCCTTCAAGATCTGATCCAACTTTGTTTACTCCTGCAAGGATTTTCTCAAATGAAAGCAAAAGCAGCACAGCAATGCCGTTAGTCTGGACACTAACATGCCTATGGCCTTTGTTGTTAAAGAAAAACAATTATGAGTTTCACTTTCCTTTTTATTATAGCATTCAATCTGTTATAAGATGTTTTGGTTTTTACATTTTAATACACTGAGAGTCTTGAAATTATGCATGTAAGTAAAGCTTGTGCCTCATAATATAACTGAGGCTCAAAACATTGGTCCACAAATGTACTCTCTGATTTCTAACATTAAAAAAAACTAGATAAAACTATTAATCATAATGGTTTTCTTCTCTTCCAAGAAAGTAGCTTGATTCCATATTACATGCAACCAGTTCTATTTTTTTTTTTCTCCAGAGAATCTATAATAATGTTCTTTTCCACAGTTGAGTAGTTTTTCTGTACGACAACATGTTGAATTTGCTGTTCATTTTCTGTAACATTTGTTAGGATTCTTGGCAGCTAGTGGCTGGTTTAATATCACACGTCATCGCTCATGCTGTCATCAGATGCTATCATGCAAATGTTCTCTGCAGTGATTTGCATCTCGGCTTGCAACACCAATCAATGCTCCATCGCTTGTTTTCTCGCCTGTGTTCACCGCTTAGGCCCACAGTGACTCCATTTCCCTCTGTGATCTCGTCTAACACTTGACTATATTTCACAAATAAAACCTTGGCTTCGGAGAGGTGCAGGAAAATATCTCTTTTTCAGCTGCTTTCCTGTGCAGACTGCTTACTGATTGACAGGTAGAATCCCTGAAAGCCTTCTGCTGACATGTTATTGCTCTGGGTCAGGAGCTCCAAACAGGAGTTAGCCTCCATACTCCCCCTCATATCTACTGTTTGCTGCTTTTTTTCTGAGCACTATCTTGCAGCGTTATAAGATTTTGCTCCTTGCGCTGAATTATTGACTTCGTCTGGAGACCCATGTGACTGAGCTGGTTGCATGCTGCTGACTGCCTACAGGAGGACAAAGCTTTTGTTTCTCTTGAATTCTGAAGCAAAATATTAAGATCAGGTCTGAGGAAACCAAACATGCATCATGTGGAGAGAGTTCATTTTATTAATGTGTTTACAATATTTGAACACTTTTTGGAATGGCTCCCTAGTTACTGTTTTTTTCTTAATAAAATCATCCAAACGGGGGTCAGAAATTTGACGTAATATATTATTGGTTTTGTTTTAAAAGAAGGTTCAGTCCTCATAGTTGGCTCACAGAAAAAAAAAAAATAGTTTTAATGAAAATATATTATTTTCAAAATGTATATATTGAAAACCTAGATTACCCCCTTGTTTGTTTGTTTACAGTTTCTACACCAGCTATGTTTTGTACCTTTTTTGGCAATTGCTGATTTGATAGATGTGCAAGCATTGATTTTTTTAAGTTTTGTGCAGTCCAAGTAGAAATACAATCACATGTAAAGAGATAAAGCTTTGTTATTCAACACCTGCATGTCAATGAGTGCAAAAGACTCATGTGTTTGCTTCACTTGAACTTTTCAACTGTGAATTTTAAATTATTTTATTACAAGAATAGGTGCAAGTAAATACCAAAGGCAGTTTCAAAATTATTTAATTTTTCGATGTAAGTTTTTTAAATTTCAGACTGGAAAAAAATGTAAGTGCTTAAAGGGGTCCTAGAATGATTCTATAGGGTATTTGGTGCTGGTCCTTAAAGGAATAGTACACCCAAAACATGATTAGCCTTCCTAAAAGCGCGCGCCTGCGAGTTCACGAGCCTACGGAAACTGCGGCAGACCAAGCCAGATGAAAGTGCACATTCAACGTCTGCTCTTGATAATGCAAGCGTAGAAGAAGAAATTTGCTGTTTACCTGTGCAAAGAAAGAAACAAGGAAAGAAAAATGTCTGAGGACTTCAGTGTTGAGGAAGAGCATGAGTTCTTTGCCGAGCTGAATGCGCACTTTCATCTGGTTTGGTCTGCCGCGGTTTCCGTAGGCTCGTGAACTCGCAGGCGCGCGCTTTTAGGAGATCCTATACACTACTGTTTATGCTCTAAAAACATTCTAAATGACTTCGTTTCGAGTAAATTCTGGATGCTACCCACTCAGGACACTTGGAATACATTGGACGAGCAGTATGGAGGAATATTGACACGTTTTTTGTGGACTTTTATGGACCTTTCTGCCTCGGGCACCATAGACCTCCATTATTTGAATGTCAGCAGACAGCAAGAAGCCTCCCAGATCTCCAGATGCATTTGAGATATCAAAAAAGTACTCCAGAGTGTTGTTCAGCATGGGGGTGAGTAGAAAATGAAGGCTAATCATGTTTTGGGTGTACTATTCCTTTAAGGTCTCAAAATAGGTAGTGTAACATTGGTTTGGTGGGAAATGGCATATTTGCTCTTCTATGAGCCCTAATGCAAGCCTGGTTAAAAGAGAATGAACGTCCTTTTATCTATGCTCATGAATATTTAGATGAGCTGTGCGCTGATTGGTTTACAATGAGCAAAGCTACTGAGCAAAGACGCATCATAGCAACAAGCATTCACCTCCTGAAACATTGAAATTGTCGATATGGTAGGGTGACCAGACGTCCTCCTTTTCCCGGACATATCCTACTTTTCAATGTCGGGGGGGAATTTCAAAATCGTCCAGGATTTTGGTCAACTGCAGTGCAACTACCACCCTGCCCCTCCTCTGGCTGAGGACGGGCGGCTCATGGCTCTCTGCTGAGGTCCGGTCCAGTCAGCGGCCCAGCAGTCAACACTTCATTTTTTTTTATCACAGTTTTGCATTCTATGACCCCTTCAATAAATTAATAATTAACCAGGGATTTATTTATTTATTTATTTATTTTTTTTTAAATCAAACTTACCAAAACCAGGCCTAGATGAATCTTAAAAATATTAACCTTTCTGCCAGCATGAAATTGGTTAGAATATATTATCTAAAGTAATTCAGGAACATATGAGAATAACGTGATTGACATCCCTTTGAAAAGCATTTATGTGGTTTTAGGACTATAACGAACCATAGTGAGGGCAATTGTTCACAAATGAAGAAAACACATTTCACAGAAGGACCTACTGTACCTACCAACATTACATCAGCAATGCATTTGGATTCCTCCAGCAGGATAAAGGAGAATCCAGAAAATATCTAAAGAACTGGAGACCTCGCTGATATCATTTAAGGTTAGTACTGTAGGTCAGTCACTTAGACCCTTCTTATTTTCCCTAAAAACTTTTTGATAACCACAAGGCTTTCCTTTACCTTACTGTATGCGTTTATAAACAAATGTGATCTATTTTAAAGCTGCATTTCTAGTTGCATCTTCCATTTAGTGAACGTAGCAATTTCAGGAAAAGCATACCCTACCAACAATCGAAAATAAAGGGTGGTTCCTAAAAATCCTATATAAAGAACAAAACAAAAGTCAGTTGTTGTCATGCATCTGTAGTTAAACTCCGGACTATAGGTGTTTTGATATAATCTAAAAATCTAACCTAAAATAAGGTGTTCATGCCCAAATATACCCTTAAATGGATCTGCATTTGGAACAATTTAGTAAAGAAGAGTGGACCTAAATTTATTTACAGTATCATGAAAGACTCATTACCACAATATTGGAATTACTTACAGTCCTTTAGTGCAAGTAAGAAAGCAGATATTAAGTCTAGAAGGTCAATACTTTTCCCCAAAGGGGCAACATTGTTTTGGTAAACCATTTCCTTTAAATCTACATTGAGTAGTTATGATACATTTAATAGCTATGCTACATTTAAGAGATAAAGAAAAGCATAATTAAACAGAAAAAAAGCAACAAAAGTAGATCTTACTAATAGTTTTATTCCTATTTTGATCAAATAATATTATGTAGAAAAATTCACTGTTCTAGTAGAGGGTTGGTTTTTGTTACCTTACTAAGTGATGAAACAACTAATTTATACAAATTGACTAACATTCACACACTCCCTGACATTTAGCAGCTCAGTGACCTCCAGAATCTGATGGGGTCCTCCTGGAATCCATTTTGATTTTCGGTTTCCTCCTCTTATCTATTTGAATTCAGCAACCTGAGATAGTGCCTGGAAACCGCAGGCTGTGCAGGGGAATGTGGATTCATGTGGCAATGAAGACAACATTGCTGCTGTAGATGAATGCTGCTTCATTGTCCTGAAGTAATTATTCCAGTGACAAGTGTGACACCACCCCTTCGCTTCTGATTGGGGCTTTGAACAGCATTGTGTGGCTCAAGGTTTCCCGTCTGATTTGACTTTACATTGCCTGGAAACCTTGCTATGAAAAGCTGCTTCTGCTGCATGAACAGAGGCGCATGTTGTGAAATTACCTGTTGCTTAGGAACCAATGTGACTTCATGCATGGGAGCACATTTTTGTCAAGGTCTTTTAGCACAAGAATTTTCCACTAATTTTCCTGCCACTGATATTTTCCATTAAGATGCTTGTTAAAGCCCTGTTCATATTTTAAAGAGATATAACTGCT